AATTTTATCCTGTGATAATCTATTTATTTTGCTTGTATGTAATTGCTAGGTATTTGGTATGACGGTCTTAACATTTTAAAAACCTGTTCCCAATATTTATTTTTGAAAAGAGAAAAAGGAGCACCAGAAGCATAAAGAGCCCTAGCTACTCTCTTCCTCTCTCTACTTTATTTTTGTACTTTATTGCAGATTTTACAGGAGGCGGTTGTGGCACACCACCCCCAATCATCCGAGCCGGAGGAGAAATGTCGCCCCCTACCATTCCGTCGTCTACACCCCCTCTTCATCCTCTCGAAATGTCACGTATGACGCTCTGGAACCTGTACAGTAACAACAACCACCCTGTACAACCCACTGCAAACGCAAGTGCCGTGGAGCCACAGAAGGAGCCGATCAACTTGTCAGAGCCTTCAAACATCACCAAACGGTGAGTTGTACTTTGAATAGGCTACTTGATCCATATACAGGATGTTCCTTAATGATATGCGAAAATTTAAGGGTGTGAATCTACACGAAAAATTAATGTTAGTTTGCTTTATAAACTATGGTCAAAAAATGTATCCGTACAAAAACTTGGGGTGTTGAAGTTTTAAGAAAAAAATGGAAATTGATTAATATTTTCAGAACCGCTCCAGATATTTCACTGATATTTAGTACGTAGTGAAGATTAATAAAGTTGCATATTTTTCAATGCACAAATAATTTTGAGCTTTAATAGTGGCATGCGTACGGGTATTGACGACGATATTTTTTAAGAAAAAAATGGTGCGCCAATGGTCTTTGCCAAATAAAAATTAATTTTGAATTCCTTGTTCAGTTTAAAACAAATGATCTCTCTTGAATTGTCTTCCTTTGATGCGCCATTTTTGAGTAAAAAAATAAAGACCGTGTTATTGTCTAACTTGCAAAATTATTATTAATTTAATTGGAAAAATTAAACACATTAGGGGTAATGAACAACAACAACTGATAACATAACCACTAAAGCCAACGAAATGAGTACAAAAATTGTTGAAAATGGCCCCCTTCACTTAGTATGCATGCTTCCGTCCTCCTTCTCATGGGATTGGGCACTCGTTGAAATATCCCTGGAGTGTTTTTTATTCTATCACAACCGGCAACTATTTTTTCTCTTAATTCCTCTACAGTGTTAATGGGACTTGTGTACGCTAGTGTCTTAAGATTGCCCCACAAAATGAAATCTAAACTGTTGAGGTCTGGGGACCTTGGTGGCCATTCAGATGTGCCTTTTCGAACTGAACCAGTTTCAACTAGACGACGTGAATATTAGAAAAGGTTCGACTATCTGGCAAAGCACGATCGGGTTATCTCTGGTGATAAATCCGTCTGGCTTGCTCACCATTACCGTCGGCAAGGCCATATACGTAATTCATTTCCGCCATTTCTGCATTTGAATAATTCACCATTATTAACAAGATTGTAAAAACTAAATAATGAAACAGATGTCACAGCGAACAGATTTGTATAACAGAGACTTGTCAGATGTCAAAAGCCAGTGACATATTCCAGAGCAACTAGATATTTATTGCTAAATTGCATTCTTCAATTATTACATTATTTTTCTGGGACAATAGAACGGTTTTTATTTTTTTACTCAAAAATGGCGCATCGAAGGAAAACAATTCAGTAGAGATCATTTGTTTTAAAGTGTACGGGGAATTTGAAAATAATTTTTATTTTGCAAAATACCATTGGCGTACCATTTTTTCTTAAAAAATATCGATGTCAATACCCGTACGCACGCCACTGTTAAAGCTAAAACTTATTTTTGCATTGAAAAATATGCAACTTTATTAACTTTAACTACATACTAAATATCAGTAAAATACCTGAAGCGGTTCTGAAAATATTAATTAATTTCTATTTTTTTCCTAAAACTTCAACACCCCGAGTTTTTGTAAGGAAACATTTTTGGACCATACTTTTTAAAGGAAACTAAATATTCGCATATCATTAAGGAACACCCTGTATAGTTAAATAGAATAAATTACTATCTCTCACAATATTTGCCTTAGGAAAACAAAATATATCGAATTCAATTTTTAAAAACGCAATTTAAAAAAATATTCGATGTCACAGATGACTTGAGTAATGACAGATCACACGAGTGACGTCATTACAACTGTATACTTTATCTGAAGTCACTTGAAATAGCATAAAAACCTTTGGTCGGCGCGTCCTTTGTAATTTCATGACATATCATAGGCGTGCGGTCATTTATTTAGAACGATAATAATAATATTTTTATATCACAATAAATGGATTTTACTATCTTCTTATTTTTTTTGATTTGGGATAAAAAATACTTATATTGCTAGTTTAATTTATGTTGACTGAAAGTCAAGAAATGGCAAAATTACAGAATTCCACCGTTTGACATAGGCAAATATTTACATAGCAGGTAGGTATATAAAAAGGTATATAAAGACTTACATTATAGGTATTTATATATCATCCTCGCCTTCGGAGCTGTCGCTAGAGTCATCTTGTAGAGGAATTACAACGGGATTTACAGGAGGCAAAACACAATATTCATTTTCTTTTTCAATAATATGCCTAGAACACTGCTTCCATAGGTCTGTGGCAGCAATATGAGATACTGCATCTCTTATTGTGGCCAATAGCGATTCACTTAATTGAGGGGTCTGATTATGTTTTCTTACTTTTTTTTTAAAGCTGCCCAGACCAACTCAATCGGGTTAAAAATGCAGTAATAGGGAGGTAGACGTAATACTTCATGGCCATTTTGCTGAAGCAAATTGTCAACAACATACTCTTTTTCAAATTTTTGTCTTTTAATAAGATCCAATAATATGGCTTTGGTTGATTTTTGTGGTATTTCCATTTCCTTATCCTTCATAAAATCAATAATGTCTTTTTTTTTGTGCCTGTATTCGGAATTTTGTTTTTCTGTCGGGAATGGTATGGCGCATTGTCCATAATAATCACTGATAGACTAAAGAATACGCGTTTATTCACCGCTACACGGCACTGGCTAAACTGTTTCAATTTTCAGTAGCCACCTGCACTTGTTCGGAGCTCTGAAATACACGCTTTCTCATTGGCTATGTCCACGCATAGCATATTTGCTGCGAAATTTGGCGATTTTTGCAGCAACAGAGCGTGTTAAATATAGATATATAAAACGCACCCGGTATTTCACAGTGTTTCAAGTGACTTCAGATAAAGTATACCTTCGTTCGTGTTTCGCATTTTTAGTATACAACATTGATGACAACGCCACTTAAGTAATACTTGAATCGATTTTTCAGGGAACCAGAGTGTAGCGAGTCCCCTCCGCCACCAAAAAGACCCAAAGAGGAAGTAATGGACGATAGAGAGGAAGATGAAGATGAAGAAGAAGAAGAACAGGAGAGGTTGCAAGAACAACAGCAAAAGTCACTACATTTGTCACCCTCTGCTCATATCAAAATCAACCGCCGTGGTAAGAATGCATCTTTTGCTTACTTTAAGTTGTCACATGTTAAGGAATGTTTGTATTACAACAAATTGCGTCCATATGTTGCGGACCGCAAGGGCGTACCCAGGAGAGGGGGCAAGGGGGACAGCTGCCCACCCTTTGCCCCAGCTGGACAAAAATTAAATGTGTTGTTTAAGAAAATTAAAAAAAAAAACGCTTCATAGCCAACCGAAAAGTAGAAAATAATGTTTAATTACAAAGAGCTTATATTACAGTAGTAGATGGTCGAACAATCAATCATCACTGGTCAACACTGGTTTTGCCACACGAACTTTGACAGCTAATTTTGTTTTATCAGTCTACCCTCATTATTAAATGACAGCTGTCATATGTCTATTAGCCTCATATTTGTTGTGATACGGTAATACTCATAACTAGTACTACGGCAGTAAATTAACAGAAACGCTTACAAGTAAATCCTTATAAAAATATTTGTTGTTGAATTTGAACACTTTTTTGTGATTTATTAACCCTGTGAATATGTCGAGGAAGTGTAATAATGATCCTAACTCTTTTTGTTATGTCTGCGGAGAACTAACATTCAAAAAACAACGACGAAATTTTACGAATCTTGTGTTGGAGTGTTATCACCAATGTTTTGGTTTTTCTGTCGCCCATCAAGACAAATCCTGGGCCCCTCATGTCTGTTGCATAACGTGTGTGAAAAATTTAACTGACTGGAAGAAAGGTGCACGACCTATGCCGTTTGCTGTACCCATGATATGGACTGAACAGCGAGATCACGTTTCAGATTGCTATTTTTGTCTCACAGACATAAAAGGTATAAATTACAAGAAAAAAACCACAGTTATTTACCCTAACTTATCTTCGGCTATAAGACCAGTCTCTCATTGTAAAAAATTGCCAGAACTAATACCAGTTGCAACTACGTCTGTTGAGAACAATTCACAACCGTCCACTTCAGGTGAATGTGTTGACGAGGACGATGACTTTGAGTTAAAAAGGAATTGTAAACGAGCCACATTTGATAACTCAAGGAGACCTAAATGATTTGGTTCGGGATTTAAATTTGTCAAAAAAGCAGTCAGAACTATTAGGATCACGTCTAAAAGAATGGAATTTGCTACATCATAATACAAAAGTTAGCTATTTTCGAAACCGTGATCAACACTTCAGAACGTATTTTTCTCAGGATGGAGATTTGGTGTTTTGCAATAACATAAATGAGATTATGAAAATGTTGGACATAGATTTTGATCTCTCTCAGTGGCGTTTATTCATTGATTCTTCGAAAGCAAGTCTAAAAGCAGTGTTATTGCATAATGGAAATAAGCTTCCGTCTGTACCTCTGGCCCATGCTGCAAATATGAAAGAAACCTATGAAAATATGAAACTTTTACTTGAAAAAATAAATTACAGTACATATTCCTTCAAAATCTGCGGTGATCTTCAAGTTGTTGCACTATTACTTGGACTTCAGCTGGGTTATACAAAGTTTTGCTGCTTTTTATGTGAATGGGATAGCCGAGACAGAACTAATCACTATATAAAAAAAACATGGCCTACGCGTGCATCGTTAGTTCCTGGGCAAAAAAACGTAAAGTATTTACCCCTTGTACAGCCAAATAATGTGCTTCTACCACCATTGCATATCAAATTAGGATTAATAAAAAATTTTGTGAAGGCAATGGATCGCAATGGGATTGGATTTTTGTATCTAAAAGAAAAATTCCCTAAAATAAGTGATGCAAAGATAAAAGAGGGTATTTTTGTTGGCCCTCAAATTAGGGAGTTAATAAAAGATTCAAGATTTGAAGAAAAATTAAGCGATTTAGAAACATATGCATGGAAGGCTTTTAAAAATGTTGTTGCAAATTTTTTGGGTAACCACTAGAGTGACAGCTACAGAGAGTTGGTTAGCGAGCTATTATTGTCATATCAAGCATTGGGTTGCAACATGTCACTTAAGATCCATTTTTTAGACTCGCACCTGGTTTTTTTTCCTGACAATTTAGGGGCTGTCAGCGACGAGCACGGTGAGAGGTTCCATCAGGACATTTCTAATATGGAAAAGCGGTACCAGGGCAAATGGAGCCCAAATATGTTAGCAGATTACTGCTGGACAATTAAAAGGGACCAACCAGAAGCTAAATATTCAAGAAAATCTTAGATTATTAAGTCATTTATAAAAAAAAATAACTTTTGATTTACGAGACCTGTGTTTTTTCTTAATATTTTAAATTACTCAATAGAATAAAATCCTTGTCTAGCAAATTTTTGTTAACTGTTTATTTTTTCTTACAATCACCAATTAAAGTAAAAAATATCAAAAAAGTCCGTGTGGCACGACAAAGTTAAAATTTTGTTGACCAGATAATTAATGACCTCAAAAAATTATAATAAAAATTAAGTGATTAACAGAATAATTCAATTTGAGTAAAAAGCATGGGGTGCATTTTAATACATTTTGATAACTCTCCTCTCATAGATCGTTGCCAATAGAATGATTGTATCATATACAGTAATGGACAAAAGTATATAGACAAATTAATATTGTGCTTTATTTCTTTTTTAACTTGTTTTATTAATACACCAAGCTGAATACATAATTCATAATAGCATAATACTCATACATAAATAAATTCATTAGACTCCCTTCAATAAAAAATTAATTGAAAGAAACTGGAACTATGGACAAAAATATATAGACAAAGCAAAGCAATTATAGAAAAAAGAAGCAAAGTTAATTGTGTTAATATTTTGTAGCATAACCATTATCATCAATCATCGCCTGGCATCGTCTCGGCATAGATTGTAGAAGTTTCTTGATATAAGATTCATCAATCTGTCTCCACTTTTGCTCTAAAGCGGCAAAAAGTTCATCCTTGTTTGAATAATTTTTATCTTGTATTTGCATTAAAAATTCACAAAAAATTAATTTTTGACAAAAAAAATTAAAACGTTGTTTTTTAGTCATCTCTATACACACTAAGAAATTACTAGACGAATAGGATTTTGAATACTGCTGCAAACAGGTAGTCGAAAAAAAATCTAAAAAACGGACGTGCCACCTTAAAGTCACAGGAAATACTTCGTGAAGTCTCCACCGTGTATATGCTTACAATCAAGGGCGGATTTACAGAGAGCAAGAGGGGTGCGCGCCCTTCCTAGACGCTTCAAGTTTTTTCAATGAAATGGTCTGTATTGTTGTCTCTTGGTGTAAAACTCACCTGGTTAGACTTGAAACGTGTGATCTACCCCCCTACACTTTCTCACTCCCCGCTCTTCAATTGTCAAGAGGGCGTTTGCTCTCAAAATCAATGCTTGAGCCTTGCGCCTGAGCATGACCCCTTTTCAGCCCCGCCCCCCATGAGTGCTGTGAGCATCGCTGCGCCCCACCCCTAGACAGATTCCTGCTTGCAATAACTTCGGCCCCCCATCATAGCCGTGTCAAGCTTCATACATCCAGAACTGGTCGATACGACCGCTCCTTTGTTCCGAGGGTGTCGAGATTGTGGAACAATCTACACGTGGAGGCTTTTCCCAGTTCAAAAATCGGATTAATAAAGTTTCTCATAGCAGCCGCGGTGCCCTGGCATTTAGGCTTCTGCCTGTTCGGTTGCTTCGAGGTAAAAAATGCATTTTAACTAGAATTTTGACAATCACTTGTGAGGGGTACTGGTAATAAAAATACGGACCACTTGGATTAATTTCTATTCTTAATCATAATCACATATATACATGTCGCCATAATTCACAACCCCATAGCCTAGCCTAGCCACTCTTGACAACTGACAATGACAGCCGTCCAACAAATGTCATATGTCTATTTCACTCCGCGAACCCCAGACTAGTCACAGATCTCGATAAACGTAAGATATAATGGGAGACTTTTTTGCTAGTATCTTTTTGGCAACACTGTTTCATTGTCAATCTTGTTCAGTTTGGTCTATAATTTAACCATGAATCGACTTACGAACGAACAACGCTTGCAAATTATTGAATTTTACTATCAAAATTCATGCTCGGTTAAGAGAGTGCATCGAGCACTGCTTCCAATTTATGGGCAATTTGGTCGGCCTACTGAGGGAGCTATTCGGAAGCTTGTGACTAAATTTCGAACCCAGTTTACATTATTGGACATTAAACCACCAACACGCAGACATAGAGTGAGGACTGAAGAAGATATTGCGGCTGTATCCGCCAGTGTTAGTGATGACCGTGAAATGTCGATTCGCCGCCGTTCGCGGCAATTGGGCCTCTGTTACCCCACCACGTGGAAAATTTTGCGACAGGATTTGGGTGTAAAACCTTATAAGATACAGCTGGTGCAAGAATTGGAGCCACACAACCTCCCACAACGTTTCCAATTTGGTGAATGGGCGCTGGCAAAGTTGGGGGAAGATCCACATTTTTATCGAAAAATTGTGTTCAGCGACGAAGCTCATTTCTGGTTGAATGGGTACGTTAACAAGCAAAATTGCCGCATCTGGAGTGAAGACCAGCCAGAAGCATTGCAAGAGCTACCAATGCGTCCCGAAAAAATCACTGTTTGGCGTGGATTATGGGCCGGTGGCATCATCGGGCCGTACTTCTTGAAAGACGTCAATGGCCGGAACGTAACTGTGAATGGCGAGCGCTACCGTGCGATGATAACAAACTTTTTTTTGCCCAAAATGGAAGAGCTGGACTTGGCTGACATGTGGTTTCAACAAGACGGTGCCTCATGCCACACCGCACACGAAACAATGGCCCTATTGAAAGGCTAGTTCGGTGAACAGTTTATCTCACGTTTGGGGCCCGTCAACTGGCCGCTTAGATCGTGTGATTTAACGCCGTTGGACTATTTCTTGTGGGGCCATGTTAAGGCTAATGTCTACAGGGATAAACCAGCAACGATTGACGCACTGGAAGCCAATATTGCAGCATTTATTCGTGAGATACCGGCCGATATGTTGGAGAGAGTGTGCCAAAATTGGACCTTGCGCATGGGCCATCTAAAG